AATGAAACAATTTACTTTTATTTTATTTTATTTAAACTAATATTATAATAAATATTATAACTAGTAACAATATGCAAATAAAAATTTAAGATTAAAATAACAGTCTTGTTATAAAATATCACAAACCTTTGTGTTAAGTCTTTATTAACCTATTCCTTTAGGTTAGTACATAAAAAAAAATAATTAAATAATTAAATAATTAAATTAATAAACTGCATTTTCATCGTATAAAGAAACCCCTTCTTCATTAGTTTCTTCATTTTAATTTGTGATTAATTCATTTGGTTGAAATATATCATGATAAAAATCTTTGGCATCATCAGGCACATTGAAAAATCTCATTAAATTTTCAACGTCTTTCTGTTTTGCAGGTTTGACATTGTTCAACTTAGGCAATTTTTCTTTATTCTTCAAAGTTGTTAGGTTAGCATTCCTTTTAAGAATTGATATTTGTATTGGAGTTCCATCATATGTTTGTGAAATTCCTAATTTTTTGCTCCCTTTAGTATAAGAAAAAACCTTCTGTTCAGTTGTTTTGAATTGATTTGGTTTAATTATATTTTTTACTAATGTTTTAAAATCATAAATATAGAAGTCACGATTTACTACATAGACTTGAGCAAAATTTTTAAAAACATTATAATATTCAGTTGGGGAAATAATATTTTTCTTTTTCCTTAAACATTTCTCAATCCTACCAAAAACTTAATCAGGGGGCATATAACTATGACCTCTTACTGGAAAAATGTGGTTGATTTTGGTAAACATAGTTTCAGTACAGTTTATATAATACAACAACAGGGCTATGACAAATTGATTTTTGTTTTGGGCAGAGCATGAATCAGAGTATAAATTTAAAGTAGTCGGAGGATCAGTCATACATTTTAGACGAGTTTCCAGTCTTTCTAAAAAGTCAAAGATAGAAGAACATAATTCGTTAGGTCCACGACCACTATCTGTCTCCAACCATGTATATAGATCGCAATTTTCCAGACTTTGATTTTCTTCTGAAGTAATCACAAATGTTAAATTATAGAGCCACACTTGGCGGCTATAAAACGTATCAGTTACACTTAACTTAGGGATTGGCTGGTTTTGCATCATATCAAAACATACACTAATGCACCCAGGCTCCACAGTTGACAACATTTTTGAAAATATTTTTGAATTTTTTTTGTGAATAATTAAATTATTTTTCATTGTTGTTTTTATTTCTTCATCAGCTTCAACTTTAATTTTTGCATTTAATTCAGTACAAAAACTACATACATCTTGCTTAGGATGTCCAAAACTTAAATTGAAATTGTTCACAAATATATTATAAAATTTACCAAGCGAAGAAATTGATTTATCATTATTTGAACGTTTATTTTTCCAATACTCCCACATTTTTTTTACTGATAGTTCCGGATGAAGGTAGCTGCGACCTGTGTCATTCCTTGCGTAGTGACTCTTCTTATTTTTAAACTTTTTAATGAACTTCATAATGCTTTCAGTAACTTCTTGTGATTGAGCATTAACACGAGCACCTCCTCTAATTTCTTTAGGACTAGGATTTCCTTCCTTAAATTTATTTGCCAATATAGTTAAACGTCGTTTTGTAAAAGATGTAATGTTACTAAATGCTGACACACAAACCCTAACTCTTTCACCAGATTTTCTAGGTATGTAGTAGATAATAGTATTTCTTTCTTTTCTGTGCTTTTTACGGCGATCTGTTCTTTTTGCGGACTTTATTACCATCATTGTCAATATGAACTTATCCAGATCAACTTTTAAATCAATGATGGATAGTAATTTTCTAATTGAGATGATATCTTCTTCAAGAAGATCAAATTTATTGCAAACATTATATTTTTTCTCCTCTTTTCTATGGTTACATGCATTATTTATAGTAAATGACCACTCAGCTTTTATATGATTTCTTTTAAGTTGCATTTCTTTTCTTTTATTTGTTTTACCACGTTTTCTTCCACCATTTACAATTTGTGTTTCTTCTTTATACTCTGGATCTGAACCTAATATAGATCTTTTAGCAGGTGTTGAATGTACGCTTTGGAGTGTATTATCATTTAAAATATGATCAGAAGTTACAGACATTACAGTTGTAGCATTTATTATTGTTTGGTTCATATTCTCATCAACATTTTCAACAGAAACATTACCAGAAATGTATTCAAAACTCATAGTATCCAATATTTCCTTGGATAAAATTACCAAAAAATTAACAAAATAACCTATTAATTTATTGCACAAACATAATAGTATAAAATGTTATTCTTATGGAACCTATTGAACTGGTCAAACCAATAATGGTTATGTTATTGAAACAACTTAAATAAATAAACTTATAATATGCATGTTATAAACTAATGGTTCATGACAAAAGATATATTGTATGTTATAAAAACAGTATGGAAAAACTAMTGTTTTTTTAGTTATAACATTTTATATGATTCATAATAAAAATATCTACCTGTAACTTTTATAATCATTTTTCATTAATTTATTTAGTTCAATTTGAATTATGTAAGTTGAAAAAATAACATTAAATTATTTATTTTCAATTGTTTTAAGAAATTATAATTTAATACTACTTAATAACATTCTGTATATTTTATTACACATATAGGTACAAGTATGTACTTACATTTTTAGAAGATTGGTCCACTTCAAAAATGTCTGGTGAAAGTAATGAATTATCTGGCCATGCTGTAACTTTGTCCTAGAATATTAAATCGTCAATATTATCAATGAAAAATAATTTTAAATGGTATTATTTATTTTATCAAACATTAAACATTAATACCTTTGTATATGAACAAAAAAATTATAAAATTCACAATATTAATTAAATACTGTTATTATTTTAATTTAATTTAATCTATTGTGCCCATAGAAGAAATATAACAATACTAATTGTATAAAAAAAAACTATATTATGCATATGACTTACATTTTCAAATGATCGATTAACTTCGAATAGGCCTGATGTATGTAAAAAGCTATTTTTTAGCCATGCTGTAACTTTGTCCTAGAATATAAAATTTTATAATTTTACACAAGTTGTTATTATTAACTGTAAAATAATTTTAAATGAAATTATTTCTTTTATCAAACATTTAATAGTAAATTTGAAGATGTTAAAAAAAAGTTATAAAATGCACAGCACCAACTAATTATATTGTCAAATTTATACCTATCATTGAGTTTAATCTGTTGTCCATAGAAAAAAATATAATAAAATAACATTATAAACTTAAAAACTATGTTATGCACATGAGTATACAACTTACATTTTCAGTAGATTGATTCGTTTCAGAAATGTCTAACGTTTGTCTAATGTTTGAACTATCTGGTCATGCTATAAAATTGTCCTAGAATATAAAATTTTATGATTTTACCCAAGTTGTTATTATTAACAGTAAAATAATTTTAAATGATATTAATTCTTTTATCAAACATTTAATAGTAAATTTGAAGATGTTAAAAAAAAGTTATAAAATGCACAGCACTAACTAAATATTATATTGTCATATCAGACTATACCTATTATTAAATTAAGTTTAATCTGTTATAGAAAAAAATATAACATTACAGGATTAAAAACTTATTATGTTATGCACATGAGTATTCAACTTACATTTTTAGGAGATTGATTAGTTTCAAAAATTTCTAATGTCTGTAATGAACTATCTGGCCATGCTATAACTTTGTCCTAGAAAATTAATTGTATGATTTTATATAAGTTATCATTATTAACAGTAAAAATAATGTGAAAAGAAACAATATTATTTAAAATAATATGATAGTTTCACTTTATTAAACAATAAACAATTTTAATCACCTATATTCCAAAATATTAATGGGTTTAAACTAAATATATAAAATGTTTGATTCTATGAGTAAATATATGATCTCTATCAGTGTATTAAAAAAAAGTACAAAATATTACCTGTCTTTTTTGGGCATTATTGAATAATTTTCTAACAACGCTCTTCTATAAAATAAAATATCACATTAGATATAATATTTAATAGTTTATGAATTTTAATGTTTTAAATAATATACTATTCATAGAGTATAATGTAGGTAATAAAATGTAGTAGGTAGGTAGGTACTTACTTTCTGTACTGACTGTACCCTTGGCTGTACAGCTACAGCATTTACCATTTTTCGAGCTCGGTTCATTTTTTTTTAAATGAATGAAAATAATTTAAAAATTGAAACGTAATAAATAATAATTCATAACATATTTTATGAATATATACAAAATTATACAAAATGAATTATAATTAAACAAAAAGAAGTCATTAAATATTTTAACACATGTGCTCACAGCTAAGAAGTCGCGCTTTTATTCCAGCAGACGCTATTAAAATATACAATCGAACTATTGAAGATAAAAGGTTGTTATCTTAATCGAAACTTAACCAATAGTATTGCGGTTTTTTTCTATGAAAAATAGATATGATTATCAAATTATATAATTTCTTTGATAGTTTAATCTATTAATCGATGTATTTTTTAATTTAATTTCAATATTACAGAAAATGAAACTATGGAAATGATACGTTTTGTAAAAACAAATATTTATCAACCTATACTATTATAAAGGAATTAACACGTTTTGATCTAAAAATAGGTAGATCATTTTTTTCTCAAATAATTAATAGAATAATAACGTTTTGCATTAGACAATATATTTTTCGTATTAATAGCATGGGATTTATTACGTCTTGGCTTGAATTGGAAATAATACGTTATGAAAAAAATTTAAAAGTGGAAATAAAACGTTTTGAATTAATGTCGATTTTTAAATGTTACTTTTGTACGTTTTATAACAGTCGTATACAAAAATAAATGCCATAAATGGATTCCTCGTGGTCTTTAAAATAATAATCAATGTATATCTCAATTTTCCACAATTTTGGAAATAACACGTTTTGAAAAGTTACCCTTCAATTACGTACTTATTAGTATCCTCTATATATATCAAAATGGATTTCTGTATGTTTGTCCTTCATGCATTCCTAAAAGGATGAACCAATTGCTACGAAATTTGGTACAGAGATATATTAGACTTATGGGCATAAGATAGGCTAAGTTAAAAAGTGACAGACTTAAATATTATTCTATTGAATATTTGAATTGTCAGACTTTTCTCGATAAAACGAATAAATTTACATAATGATAAACTAAATTTCTGAACAAACTGGTGTCATTATAGGGTATTGTGTCGCGGTGTAGTGAGGTGCGGACACGTATATTGAAATGTKTGTACGAAGTATCAACAATTATCAGTGAATCGTGATACCGACAAGATATTGCCAGGTGTTCTAAATGATGAAAATGTCAAACTGGATTGTGATCTATCCGAATACATCGATTATCAGATAATACAAATCCGGGATATCATAGAGCACACTCCAACAGGTCAATTACCGCGAATTGTGGAAGTTGAGTGTGAGAATGACATTGCTGATACATGTAAAGCCAGGGACAGAGTGCAGATCATGGGTGTTTATTATTGCAATGCTCCTAAGAAGACATCTATATTATTTGCCTTCAGTATGAAGGCAAATAATATTATACATTTCAATTGTCATAATAATGCCCAAAACTTTAGTTTGGAGGACGTTACAAAATGTAGGAAGTTGGCAAAGGGTTCATATGACGTGGTTGAATTGTTGTGTCGATCCATAGCACCTTCTATTATTGGCCATACTTATATTAAAAAAGCAATTATCTGTATGTTATTGGGTGGAGTTGATAAAACATTACCAAATGGAACAAGGCTTCGTGGATATATAAATATGTTCAAGTAACATGCCCCAGCTGATTCAAGAATTGACTAACCGTGAAATGTGTGCTTGTAACATTATAGCACATGGTCTCCAAGAGTCTTCGTCCAATGATCCTACAGCCCGAATCGCATCCGATATTAAATTACTCGATGATAATATCCATCCGTGTAACCTAACTCAACCTCGAGATCTTAAGTTATTTAGGTTGGGCCACAAGAAAAGTGGTAAACCTCGACCACTAACCCACATAGCAAAATAATATTTTTTAAATATTGTGAAAATGTTAATACAAAAAATGAAAATATTTGATTAATGTTGTTAGAATATTTTAAAATATTTTCAAAACATTTGGAAAACATTTTTTGGCAGGCGAAAAAATATTTCCACAATATTTTGGTAATATATTTTCAAAACATTTTGTCATAATATTTCTAAAATCATGTACTTCAAATAT